TTTTTAATTGATTCTTTTGTTTAAAAGTTGATTTAAATAATATCTCATAACATTATTAGTATTATGTTATATAACATAATTACGTTTATGTTTTGAATATTTCTTGCTGTCATTTACTGTTGAAAAGTAAGATATACTATTTCAATTCATATTAACAGCTCATATTACTTAATCAGAACATAGAAATTTATGAGAAATAAAAACAGAAAAAAGTATTATGGTTTTAAAGAACAATTCAACCGAATTGTGAAGAAATAAAAACTTAAGAAATAAAAAAATCATAAGTTATAAGTCAATGTAAATTTAGAAAATTTAATGAAAGGAAATGTAACCAAATTAAATAAAAGAAATTCATTTCATTTCTTAACAGAGAATGTTGTAAGAAGTTCCACAAGAAGTTTGTAAATGTTCAATATATTTGTAAGCGTAATTGTTATAACCAGCAAATGGAATAAAGTCATATTTGTCAGAACAAGATCCAGATGGAACGCTGTAAATTAATTTAAACTTGTTAGTGTATGGAACAATATAATCAAGATAGAACATACTGTTCCATTCTTCTTGATTAAGGAGAAGGTATTTACTCTTTGGATAGTCAGCAGTAACGTTCATAAGTTGGTCAAATGCCATTCTATTCCAGATTTCAGAAGAATACCAATATTGTTTTCTAACTTCAAAAATAATATGTTCAAATTGCATATGAGCAGTTGATCTTAAGAAAGAATTCCATTGACCTTGAATAGTTCCACAAGTAGCACAAACTCTGAAAACAACAAAGATGTTTTCTCTCATAAATCCAGCAGTAATAAGGTTGACGTTATTTTTGTAAGCATTCTCATTTTTTCTACCAGTGAAATTAAACCCAACAAAACCAGCTACTTTTGGATATGATTCTTCATAAAGACATTTAGTTGCATTAAGGGAAGTTGGTCCGTTGACAATTGGACGAACTGCTGAAGCAATATAACAAAGAAGAGCTATGATGAAACAGTTCATAACCTTTTTGATTTTTCAAGTTCAAAGAAAGCAATAAATAAACCAAGAAGAAGAATGTGGATATAGAAGAAAAGAGAAGATAGATTGGAATAGAATTGAAGTTGAAAAGAGAAAAACAGAAGGTTCTGAGTCATATTCCAAAATTTTATTTTTAATTGTGTTTTAGGTTATAAAGAAAAACAAAAATTCTGGTAAATTGATTTTATTAATAATTATTTGACAGAAGATATGATAATAAACCCATTATTATTTGAGACATAGACATTTGACTTGAAGATATTTCCATTTTTGACAAACTATTAGATGTATTAATCAAAACAATAATAGGAATATTTATTATCATTGTTGTATATATTAGTTGAGAGGAAGAAGGTAGAGGTTCAAAATTTAATAACCTTAATATTTTTTGAAGTTCAAGAAGTTTTAATGAAGTTTGTACTGTTATTTTAAAAAAGCAATTTTTAAGAAAATCTATTTGTTTTGGAAATTTTAAAGGTTGAGCAAATCTAAGTAATGTGATAGGTAAGGATAATGAGCATTCATTTAATTTGTTATTAGAAAGATATGAAAATTGAAGTATAGGTGCTTGAAGAAAGATTTGTCTTGCTTCAAATTTACAAAGAATTTGTTGTTGTTTTTTTGGTTGAAGTATGAATGAATTATTTTGTATAATATACGTAAGTCCATTTTCTGTTTGAATATTTACTTGAACGGGAAGTATTTGATCTTTAATATTTCCAAAATAAAGAGCTGTTTCTACTGTTGATGAACAATTAATTCTAATTCCTATTTGAATATAATTATCTTGAAATATAATTCCTTCATTTTGTGTGAGAAGTTTTTTATGAATATATTTAACTTTCTTTTCTAACTCTAATGTACTACTAGAATGAAAGAAAATAGACCCTTTATAGTTTCTTTGATTAGAAGAAGTAATATTAATTGACTTAGTATTAACATTCCTATAAGAGTGTATTTGTTGGGATATGTTTTGATTTAAGAATTGGTCATCATCTTTCTTTGTGTCATAACTTTCATTTTTATTATTATTTTGTTCATAAGAAGTTTTTTCAGGTAAATGAGTAATAGCAATATCATAATTACTATTCTTTATAATATTAATATATTCATAAGCTCTTTGTTGAACTTCAACGTCTATATTTGATAACATCATTTGACATGCCTTGTAACATATTGGTTTAATACTATCAAATTCTTTTGCTAATTTTATTAAACAAGTTAATATTAATCTTTTAGTCATTGTATTTACAAACGGTAATTGATTAATTAAGTATAATGCTACTTTATTCTCAAAATGTTTTAATGATTCAGGAAATTCACCGATTATAATACAACTTATTTGTAAAAATAATTCATTTCCAAATCCATTTAAAAGAATTTGAATAATTTTTTGAATAGCAGAATGTGAATTATTTTTAATTGAATGAATAATTTGATCAGATATTTCTAGTCTTATAAATTCTGAACCAAGACAAAGAGTAGTAAGTATTGTATCAATATACCAATCATCTTGTTTATTATCTAATTCAGCTAATAATGAAATTTTTATAACAAGTTCTTCTTTTAATTCATTTTCACTCTTTTTAAGTAAAAGAAGAAAGTGTTGAACAATATTTCTAATATTATTTTTAGTGCATAATGAATAAAGTACTTCTATAGTTCTTCTTTTTATTGTAATATCTGAAGATTCTAAACATTTAATAATATCAATAAGATATTTTTGACAAACATATTTATAATGATTTTCTCCAAGAAGAATAAAAATATCTAACGTAAGACATTGAATATTAATATCTTTTTCTTTTATTAATTTAATTAATAAAGGAAGAAGATAATTAAAATATTGTTCTTGTTCATTTTTAATAATAATAGAAGCTATTTCAAATAATAAAGCCATTAAAATATATTTTTTATGTATTTGTGAATGTAATTTTTCTTTTAAATTTTCATAATATTTCAATGTAAATTTAATAAGTTCCCAAAACATAAAATTTGTTGTAGAATCTAATTTTATTTTTGATAATAATTTAAATAATGAAATTTGTAACCACGGAGAAACTATTTCATGATATTCTATTTCTTTATTTATTTTTTGATGAATTAAATTATATAAAATGTTTACCAATTTATTTCCAAATGGTTGAACAATAATTGGATTTTTTTTAATAATTTCAGATAATAATAAAACAATGCTATTAATTAATCCTAAATCCATTTCATAATTTATTTGGTTTTCTATTATTTTCATAAAATTTGGATTTATTATTATTATATTTGGTTGTATTTTATATAATTTACTTAATGTAAGTATCGCACGTTTTTTTATTGAATCTTCATTAAATCCAATACAAAGTTTAATAATAGTTGGTGCAAGTGAATCGATTATTTCAATATTTGCTAATGAACTAATAACTGTTAATGCATTTGAAACAATACATTCATTAGAATTATCTAAGTCATGTTGAAGAGTATTAATAATCATTCTAGTTGATTCTAGTACATTAGAATATAACATTTGAAAAGCTAAATATCCAATTTGTTTATCAAGAAATTTGTTACTACTTAATAATTCAATAATTTCTATAAACCCAACATCGACTTCATATCCTAATATATTAATATAAATCATTTTTATTGCATTTAATCTTCTCTTCTTTCTTTTTATTTTTTTTTCTTTTAATTCTTTTCTTATTAATGCCATTTCACATTTAACTATTTCATTTTCTGATTCTAAATTATATTCTTCAATCTTATTTGTAAATTCATATATCCCTTTATTAAATACCTTTGATCTATCCATATTAATGTTATAACCTACATACAGTTCATTTCTCTTCTTGTATTTATACTTCTTTCTTGGATTTTTCTTATTTCTTTTTTTTTACTATTTATTTAATTCTTTTTATTATTTTCTTCTTTTTTATTTCTCAAATTATTTTTTCTTTCTTCATAAATTTCTTGTGCTTTTTCCTTTCTCTTTTGATAAAATTCTAAACAGAATTTTATCAATTTCTTTTATTTTTACTTTTTAAAAGATACAACTATTAGTAAAATATATTTATTTTATACTAGAAATTAGAATATTTCTCTTTTTTTTTGTAAACGAAAATCTTTATATGAATATTCTTATTTTCTTTTATGTCTTAATGAATTAACAATAACTTCATTAATAAAGAAATAAAATAATTAACCACTTTTC